CCTAATGCATATTATTTATGCAATATTCATAATGTATATATAGCACACATAATTGTGTAGCAAAAAAAGTATTGGTTCAGCGTCTCACAATCACCTATGCAATAACACCTAATTACTTGTGCAATAACACTCAATTACCTGTACTACAACAAACACACACCTGCGCAACAAGACACGGTTGTCAACAAGATCTACAACAAGTAGACGGTTGGAACAAGTTAGGTGAGAAGGTGGTGGAGGCCAAGACCGTCAGTAGTTTCAAAGCGTTATATGACAAAGAGTGCTGGGAAGACGGGACACCACGAGCGTAGCTCTCATCCTGTAACTACACTTAGGTAATTACACACTTGCGAGCGCAGTACACAGTCTTCCCCCCCACCAAAGAGTGCTGGGAAGACGGGACACCACGAGCGTAGCTCTCATCCTGTAACTACACTTAGGTAATTACACTTAGGTAATTACACAATCACTTGTGCACCATCACACTATCACTTTAGCAACTACATACACAATTCCTTGTGGAACAGCGTACAATTACCTGTGCAAGAGCACAATCTGAGTTACGCAAAGATATGATCATAAGTGAGAGGTGAGTGCAAGTGTCAGTAACAATCAGCACCGTTGATCAGTAGTTATGGACTTGTGAATGGCTGCAGTATGCCGAGTGCAGAGCCAATTACCAGCACTGCACAGTCCGGGAATATTCTCGTAAATGAGGGTCTGGCGTTGCACTTAGTACCAGCACATGCGTACGTACGCACGCATCTGGGTCTGTTAGATGATGTAGCCCTTGTTATCATGTTATCTGGATATCATGTAGGGGGGTATCATGTCATCTGGGAGGAGAGGTCTTGTTATCTCCTTAGAAGGGGGGAGGCTCCACATGCCCTCATATAGGAATTTGTTTATATATGATGGGGTTATATACCCCATCATATATAAACGTGATGGGGTTCTGGGAGTTCTTCTACTCCCCAAGCCCGGCCCGAGGTCAGGCTTGACTTGTGAGTTAATATATAAATACATTTATATCCTCAGGGATATATTAAACAGACACGACTATATTAACATACATGGTAGGGGGGTGATAGGCAGGCAGTCAGACAGACGGACTGTCATACAACCATACATAGAGAGAGAGAAAGAGAGAGAGAGAGAGAGAGAGAGAGAGAGAGAGAGAGAGAGAGAGAGAGAGAGAGAGAGAGAGAGAGAGAGAGAGAGAGAGAGAGAGAGAGAGAGAGAGAGAGAGAGAGAGAGAGAGAGAGAGAGAGAGAGAGAGAGAGAGAGAGAGAGAGAGAGAGAGATTTCGGGAGGAAGTAAAATACTGGAATTTTCTAGAGAATTCTAACAGTAAAATGTAAACCGTGATCTAATTTGTGCAAATACGCTACACGGCTACACACTTAGGCTAAACATCTATGGTAAAGCTGTGGCTCTATGGTAAAGCTGTGGCTCTTGGGCCCGCCCCGAGTTAACTTCGTTCAAAATTTCAATATTCGTTTGTGTTGTTTAATTTACATACATTAGCTAGTCGTTCAACATTGTAGTTCTCAAAAACAACCACCAGATGCATTTAAAGGAGTTCCTTCTCCCCTCCTCCCCTCCTAGTCTAGGTTTTCCCTTTGTCCAACCCAATCTAAGCTAACCTAACCTAACCTAACCTAACCTAACCTAACCTAACCTAACCTAACCTACGCTTAAAAACGGGCTGAACCTGATATATTCTCATACTATGCAGGCGATGAGTCACAATAACGTGGCTGAAGTATGTTGACCAGACCACACACTAGAAATTGAAGAGACGACGACAATCGACAATGAGAATGGTCAATCGACTTGAGAATGGTCCAGGACGGACCGAAACGTCGTCGTCTCTTCAATTTCTAGTGTGTGGTCTGGTCAATATTCTCATACTATAGCTTTGTATGAGAGGCGGGAGGCTGCCGGTGGTCTCGGGAGAGGGGAAGGCTCCTCATTTCCTCAGGAGAGAGAATGTTCATGTCTTCAGGAAGGGAGGAAGCTTCCTATGTCAGCAGGAGGGAGGGAGGAAGACTCGTGGTCTTACCTATCACTAAGGAGGCGTGAGGTCTAGCTCTTCAGGCCCCGTCTTCTAGCTCTTCATGCTTGCCGCGCTAATTACTCATCTCAGTATTTACGTTTTCATCATATTTCTTGTTAATGTTGTGGATGAAATTGGCTTGATCAACGTCTTCCTTGAGTGGCTTCTCTTGGCCGACCATCCGTACAGGGCCCGAGACCTTTCTTACATCTCCTTGACTCAGTTGCGTGTTCAGCTTCACCCATGTCCCCTTGTACGACCTCTTTATAATTTAAATAGGTTTCCATTATCCACTTTATCTATTTCCCTCAAGATCTTGTACGTAGTTATCATATCCTCTCTGTTTCTTCTCCCCTCTAAGGTTGTGAGGGGGACTTCGTTAACCTGGCCTCACAGTAGAGGCCTCTCACAGTCTCAGTTACAGTGCTGCTCTAGTTGCAATGCTTCTCAACTTCCTTAAGTTGGTGTTTATGCTTCATGCTTCCATGCTGGAGCTGCACACTCAGGTGATGGTCTCACGTAGGCACTGTGTGTGGACTTGAAAGCCGCCTTGTTTAGATTCTGTTTGCTAACTTGCCACATGCTGCTGATGTCTTGCTGTTCACGCGAGCTTCTGGTGTTAGTGTTGGAATGATGTCTTCTCCCGCGTCTTTTTCTCATATTGTTTCTTGTGTTTGCCTTCCCCTTATGGCGTGGTTAAATACACGTCTCCTCGATGCTCTGGGAGGCAGTTGAGAGGTTCTGAATGGCTCTGAAAGGATAGTGATGAGTGTTAGATATCTCTGGAAGTAACCTTAAGGGACTGGGCATCGTACTGTACCTTAAGGAGCTGGGCTTTGTAATTCGTAGCTGGCAGAGTGGCAAAAATCGTCATGGGTGACTCTGAATGTGACCCCTGGCACTTTGTGCCCTTTCAAATTCAAGCGACCATAATGAGCCTATGTTCACCCGGTTCCCCAGACCATTCCCTCTGCCAATTTGGGTGAGACTAGCACGAAACGTCTGGCCTCCAACTTCGAACAGACAGACATTCTCTCTTATAGTATAGACAAAATCCGTCTCCGCTGTTCCAAGGGCCATAGATATATCCGCCAAATCTGTATATATTCAATGTTTGTATTTTGGTTCACTTTGCGCAGGGATAATTTAGTTACGAAAGACACGATGATCTTCTTGCTTAAAAGTTGGGCCGAGATTATTTTATCCGATGAACTTGACGTTGGCTCTTCAGCGCCTTGTGGAACATTTTATAAATGTGTCCACGAGACCAATTTTTTTTATATTTTTATATTTTTTTGCTAGTGGTCGTGTTTGGTGGAGCTGTGGTTGGTGTGTCTGCACGATGTGACCTCTTTCTTAATTCTTTATTCATATTTAATTGCGTGCTCGTTGCTAATGGTGTTTGGCACGTCTCTTTTTTTATACTGAGGTCTGATATTTTTATTTCAAAATTTATCTGGTTCATGAACAAAAAAATTATGTTTGAAATCCTACAGAAGTTTCTCCACTTGAGGAAATGAGGAGAAAGAATTGTCTAGCAGGTGGCTGGACATATCTTTTTGAGGTTATCTTGAGATGATTTCGGGGCTTAAGAGTCCCCGCGGTCCGGTCCTCGAATAGGCCAACTTTTTATTACATATTTCAGGAAGCAGCCCGTAGCAGCTGTCTAACTCCCAGGTACCTATTTACTGCTAGATGAACAGGGGGGCATCAAGGTGAAAGAAACTCTGCCCGTTTGTTTCCTGCTCCACCGGGGATCGAACTTGGACCCTCAGGACACTCATTTGTCAGCCCCCCCCCCCCCAGGCACATGAAACAAGAATTGACCAAGGGGGGGGGTGAGAAGGTTATAATTCCTGTTGTCGGGAACAGAAAACCTTTGCTTAGACTTAACTCCCGGGTACCCATTCACTGCCGGGTGAATACAGGCATCAGGTGAAAGTAAAAGTGCCCAGTCATTTCTGTTCCTCCTGGAATCGAACCCGGGGTCCGTGAGTGTGAGTCAGTGAAGTGACCGACTGTACTACGGGGGTTAGAGTGGTGGCAGGAGATGGCCCCCCACACACACAGCACCTGTGGTAGGCATCAGTACAGTCAGATCACAACCGAGAGGTCCGGGGTTCGATTCTCGCAACAGCAGGATAGTTTGAGCTCCATCTCCTTTCACCTGATGCACCTGTTCACCTAGATGTACGTTAGTCCCCCAGGAGCATCCTGGGAAAGGGGGGTAGGTCAGCCGTAGACTATGAGAAATCACAGTAATATTAACAATACACACACAAAGAAATCACATTAAGGTGGTATATCATTGGGAAACTCAGTAGGAGCCGTGAGGAGGATTCGAACCTGTACACTTGATACTCCCAAGCACACGCCCTAAACCCCTGGACCAGGATATGCTACGAAAAGTACCGTAACCTGGTATTTAACTTACTCATCTAGGGGTCTGAGGCATCGAGGTGATACCAAGTCAAAGTTCCCACTCATGACCCGTGGACACTTTGGTGTGGTATGAGTGAGCTTGAGAGTACCAAGTGTGCAGGTTCGAATCCTCCTCATGACCCCTACTGAATTTCTCAATAATAATAATAATTATTATTATTATTATTATTATTTTTATTATTATTATTTTCAATAAGAAAAATAAATGTTTAAAACTATTTTTTATATATATGTGAAGGAAAGATACATGTGAGAAACAAGTGCTAAGCCAATAAGACTATATAACACATATTTTAAGGAACTTTATTGGCATGTGGAACTTTATTATTAATTTATTTACACATAATACAGCAAGAGCTTCACTGTCACTTTCCTTCATTCCTCATATACAATTATTGTTGTATGTCTTTCTCATTATTTTGCTGAGAGCAAGTACTCAGATGAGGAAGACTTGGGGGAAGTCTCACCAATGAGAGAGAGGACACAAATAAAAGAAATGTAACTAATACAATGTTTTACTGACTAGGAAATATAATTGATTAGAATATACAAGTAATAGAAATTGCTTTGGTACAAAAAGTGTGCAGGGAAGTTGACAAAGAGTTGAGATGTTTCAGTTTTTACCCTCTATAATTTTATAGTGCATAATACGGACTTATTTTTTGGTACAATGGTCCATATTTTATTCATTCCATTCAAAAGTAGCTATAGGTATCACCCATAGGTAGCAATAAGTACCATCCATAGTTCCTGTAGGTACCATATATATATAGCAGCTATGAGTACCACCATTTTGGGGAAGCTGGGTTGGTCACCAAGCTCCTAAGGGCACAACAAAGTGCATGCAGTATGCCAAAAATAAAGACGCTATTCAGGAAAATCACCAGAAAAATAAGCTTCATAATTTTGGTCCTCGGTAGAGATTCACTTCAGGAGGGCCTCACTACGCACTGCTTTATTTATATATTTATATTAAAATATCATGTATTTTTTCACAGTTAAGTGTAGTTAAAACTTTTGTCTGGACATTAGGTTTGGAATCTATGCCAACTCTTTGAAAACATTGAATTGCACAATTTATATTATCTATTTTCTGGGTTATCGGACACCTTCTCTGCCTCTGACATCTTGTCTTCTTCTGCTTCCTCTGGGTTCTCGAGGGAGTAAAAGTCTGTCAAAATAGTGCTGCTCTTGATTAGCTCTAATGCCCAATCTTGATCAGTACTGTCACTTTCCTCCCCTCTGTTCTCACTATGTCTACTAGGACCCTCTCTCTCATATGCTTCTTGTTTTGAGCTGAGGGTCTCTAGTGGTCTTCTGCCTGAAGGTCCATTTACGTTAGTATTTTCGTGAGAACTGTTTTTGAAATCCCTTGAATATCCCTCTTTGTCAGCATTCCTTGGATACCTGTCACGGCACTGCTCGAACAGCTTGTTGGTATTGGTATTGAGTACGTACCCAGGCTGACGCTTCTTGGAGGCCCCGACCCTGAGAGATCCATACCTCAGGGCATCTGTCAGACTGGGACTTGGAGGTGCCATATTCCTGGAGGGAAAGTATCCAGCCGAGGAGTGGTTGCGCCTCACGGGATGGCCTCTAGGGAGGTAGTCCGTGTAGTAGCAGTCCTCACTCTGAAGGCTTACATTGCTCCCTAGGCGCACAAAGGGCTTGGGGAAGTGTGCCTCTCTCCTTGAGCTCCCAGGTGAACCACTCAGGTAGGTGTTGTGGATGGTTGACACAGTGGGGGATGCAGGAAAGTTGGAAATTTTATGTCGAGTTGATGGACTGCCGCACTGTGGAGGCAGCCGATAGTTTGTGCCCTGATCCTCGTGTAGATTTAATGGTGGCAGCTTTGGCGCACGTAAACTCCTCCTAGCAGCAGGCACACAGTGGTAGTCCCCCTCCTCTCTTGGGTAGTTGTTATCTTCCTGAGACACCTGTCGTCTTGTGAGGCTATTGTACGTGTTGTCGGCTCGATCCAGATTGTTCATATGATGGAGTTGGTGGTCTCGCCCACCACTCTTTCCCCTCTTCCTCTGTAGGCTGTAGTAATAATTTCCCTGCCTGTCAATGTTGTTGAGATGTTGGACAGTGGGGTCTCTTAAGCTTCTCGTTCTAGAAAGAGAACGATAGTCTGGTTCTGTTCTCCCTTCTGTAACTGGTGGCGAAAGATTTGGAGAGTATAGATAACTCCTCCTACTGCTTGGAGAGGAATGATAATCACTCTCTGGAGTATCGATGTTATTATGAAGAATGTCTGAAGTATGTGAGTTTCTTCTGCGAGAAAGACTTTGATAAAAGTTCTCCTGCCTTCCAAGACCATTAAGTTGCTGTACAGATGAGCCATGAATCTGAGGATTAGACCCTTGCATATTTGAATCTTGTAGTCTGTTCTGAGAATTATACGAGTGTGGGTTTGCCTGATGTGGGTCTAATTGAGTTTTGATCCTGACAAACCCATCTTCATGAACAAGCATCGATGCAATGCTGTGAGGGTTGTACACGGGAACCCGAGAGACTAAATTTGGGCCATAAATAGATATATGAGATCCCGGACTGTACAAAGGAATCTGAGAGGCTGAGCCTGCTCGGATTACTTGAGAAAGAGCTATTGGAGGCCCATATGTGTCCCTCGATGCCTGCTGGTGTTGAGGTCCATGGCTGAATGTGGCTGATCTTTTCACTGTAACACCACATCTTCTTGTTGCCTTTGGAGTCCTTGAAGCTGGCTCACATCCTATAGATCCTGCCTCGGGAAAACAAGAGGTATATTGCGTACTCTCAGTTCCACTTGAGAAGGAAACTCTTTGGAATACTGCATTTCCATTCCTCTCCTTGCCTATGTCTTCCTTCTGACCTTCAAGTAAATTAGATGGGACCAAGAAATTGTGGAGGAAACTTATTTTGTCATCATACCGCTGAGTTAGTGCCGCAGCCACACAGATGGAGATGGACAGCAGAGACTCAACCAGGCATCCCAAAATGTGGAATGTCCACCACCCCCAGGCAGGTACATGTGAACATATGAGAAAGACTGTGTGAGAGAGATGAATGAGACACAATACCCCAAGAGCTGTAGCTATAAGTTTCATCACCTGACACCACAGGTTAAGACGGTTTGTCAATATTTGTTTAATGCCCATTTGTCTCTCGTGCGACAAGTCCTTTGAGGGAACCACCAGTAACTTGAGTTCCCCTTGAAATTCTCTCTTCAACATTTGAGAGACTTGAAGTACCATTTGGTACTTTCGAGCATAAAATACAATCATGCCTACTGTCACAGCAATCAACATAACTCTAGACAACACTAACACACTCTTGCTATGTGCACTCCCAACAATAATATCTGCAACAAAACACAGAGCAAACTTCATTATAACAAAGATAGAAATATTGTGCATTGTAAAAAGCTTTGGTTTGTAAACTTGTACATCTGCAGTCAGAAACATCATTATCATTATAATTAAAAATGATGAAGTGAAACAAGGAAATCCAGTATTGGTTAACAGGAGTACAAGGACGAGAGGCAATTTTTCCTTGCTTCCATAAGCAAGGTGGAACAAGTATAGTGCCTTAAGGAATGCTGCAATAAAGACAAGCAAATGAATGATGACGAAGTGTGTGCGAGGAAGCAAGTGAGTGCAGGACTTGAGTGCCATGAGCCGGTACGCAGCTAAGAGGCTCAGGCCGAGCAGGATGAGCCCCAGAGTAAAGTTGACGAGTATCCATGCAAGGTTTCTGTTGCTACACAGCAAAGCATCAAACCAAGACAATCGAGGCGTGTGTTTATATTCAGTTCCTGATTGCCTGGCCTTCTCCTGTGTGGTTTGTGTCTCGTTCTTTGACTCGTTAGATTTTTCAATCTCCTGGTCAGCGGGCAGCTCCTGTCCCACGGTACCACTGCCCACGGAATTGCCTCTTCTGGTTATCTCTGATTTACCTTCGATTTCAGGAATGTCTGTATAATGTCCTTCATACAAGTCATATAGCTCGTGATCATATTCCTGAAGCTCAAGCATTCTCTCTAGGACTGAAGGATTCTCTTTTTGATCACTCCTACCCGCTGAATTGCTACGTGGACGACCATCCCTTCCTGGCCCAAGGTGTGGACGTTTAGACTCGTTTCTTATTGGGACTGAAGTATTTGGAGATAATACAGCAACTGACATATTCCTTCTCCCAGAGAGTAAGTCACCATTACCACCATCAGCTACATAGTCATAGTGTGGACTCTTGCTGAGGACTGTCGTTCTTTCAATTCTGTTGCTACCCGGAGTGATGAAAAATGGCATTACATCTTGCCGTCTGGCTGGTGGGTAGGCCTTGGATGATGAGCTTCTGTACGCCACATCCCTGAACACCTCTGCAATTTCCTCTTCAATCTGGTTTGCCTTGAAAATTTTCCGTCTCCCTGATGGCGTCTCATCCAGGCGTTCTCTGAGCCAAGCGGGCAATCCAGAGTGGCTGTGACGAGTCCTGTGGTGGAGGGGAGAGTCTGTAGCCACATTTCCAACAGTTTCTCGACGAACCACTGACTTCGTCACATCCGGCAGTGACAAGTAAACATGCGAAGATGGTCGTGTCACTAATGCTGATCCTAATGAAGGCTCATAATCCCTGGGTATTGGAACTTTTTTTTCTGGGTATTTCCTATTTGAAGTTTCATCATCTGTCGTGATAAGCATCTTGGGTTCTACTTCTGCATGAAGAGGTTTCCGTCTAGTCTTCCTCCCAGCAGACCTCAAAGTCTCAGAAGGCAATGCCCTAGGCAGAAAATAAGACTTTCGAAATCCCTCTATCGAAGTCGAGGCATGATCTTTATAGACTTTGTGGGATGGCTCGAGATGCACTTTTCCTGTCATCCTCAGCTTGCTTCGAGTGTCAGGATCTGAAGGAGGTGACTGTGACTGCCTTTCTTTCTCTATTGAATGAGTATCTGTTGCCAGGAAAGATGGAAGTGTCAGATGATTCCCGCGAGTAACATCTTTGTACGTAGAGGCTATTGTAACGGCGTTGTTTAAAGTGACAATTGTAGAGACATTGCGTACATTGGGCATTATAGAGACATTGTGCAGGGCCTCCATCGTAGAGACCCCGACAGGGACCACTTCTGAAACATGGGGTACGTTGGTTATCTGGGAAGCATTTCCCGCACTGGTTGTTGGCTGGAACGATGCTGCTGGCGTTGCCACAGAGTGGGACTGTACACCGGTCACATTGAGCAGTTGTGCACCAGTCGCCACGGAGAACGACTGGGCACTGGTCGTCAGGAAGAGGCTCTGAGCTCCGTTCGTAACTCGAAGGCTGGATAAAGTGCCAAGGACCCAGAGTGCCGCTGCTGCTGAGAGAGTCCCGAGAGTGCAAGGTCCGGCCATCCTGCTTCACCATCTCGACTCCAGCGATGCAGCAACACCTGTAACACCAAGAATTATATAAGAACACTGCAAGATACATGTCAGGTGCTGCACAATATTGCTTAGCAGTATGGTAAGGTTTGAATTTGCATAT